TGTTTCTGTATTTTTCATGTTTATGATATTTTGGAATGACTGAAGATCAGCGCAGAATTCAATAATCTTGTGGATGGACCGCAGCAAGTCCTTTTGCAGTTTTATCCATCAAAATGCTATGCAGACATAATGGAAATGACATTCACATTGTAGAGCTTGGACAAAGTTGTAAGTAAATTTATTTACTTTATAAATGCACATTTATTGGAGTCTGTAAGCTTTACGATTGTAAGGCACATTTTAATGCTTCCCTTTGTTTCTATTAAAGCACACAGGCTCGGAGCAGGAATTCATCAAGGACATGACCGTTGGAATTACAGTTGTGGGTGACTAAACTGAGCACCATCAATCTGCAGTGATGTGGTCCAGGTAATAGAAGAAGAAATCTTGGTGATCTGTGGTTGCAACACGTTGTGGAGTTGTGTAGTGTGTTAGACTATCTGGGACTTGTCACAGAAAGAAACTCATTCAGGTTCAGAACAACTTGAGGTTTAGTAAATGACCGTTTTCTTTTCTTTTTTTCCCTTCTTTTTTGGGTGAACCCTTTAAGAAAATGTAGATATTTGCATTGGAAAACCGCTTCAGAATTTTGAGAACATAATTTGACATATTATTTTCCCTTCAGTTTATTCCTTGAATTTTCTATAATTGGTATTTAAAAGGTCTTTATAAAGTCTTGAATTTATCTTCATAAAACCAGCAGAAACCCTGTTTATGGACATCGCCATTTTTGATTATTTTGCTGTAATTTGTAATTTGAACAGTCGATAGCAAATACTTAAACTAATAACAAAACAGTAGCTGATTCAGAAGTGCCAGATTGTCATAGCAAAGTCAGAATTACTCCTAGGTTCACGAAACGGTCGTCCATAAAATGCATTGCTGTTCTGTTGTAAGTCATCTTAAAGATTCCTAAACGCATCTACTTCCGGAAGACCAAATAAAGTGCTTTTGCTTTCGCACAGAAACACACAGCGTCTCCCTGACATGCTGCTTCAACACTAACTGCGGTTACTGAAACCACGCCTTCTTTCTTTGCGTGCACATTTGGGCCGCATTATGCTAATATTTCCACATAGTGAGGTAGATATGTGGGGGCGTGTTAGAACGAGCCGTTTTAGGGGGGTGTGGCAGAGTCTTAACTTTGATAAAGAATATCTCTTTGGTTTTGAGACTTTAGTCTTTGCAACTTCAGGGATCTTATCTATGCACAATCAGCTTGTAACACTCCAAAGAGAAAGAACAACTTGAAATCGCATCATATGACACCTTTAAGATTTAATCTTCAACTTTAATTAGCAGGAATATCTTTCACTCAATCTCTGTCTAGCTGTGCCATCTTGAGGTTATTTAGAGCATCAGCTTTGCCAAAAAAAAAATACACTGCTACTATTTGTCAAGTATAAAAAAAATACATAGAAGTACATCTACTTCTCGTTTGGTGGTTCGAATAGGATGAGCAGTAACTAGTTACAGTAATAACAACTTAACTAGCAGTGTAACAAATTACTAATGACTAGATTTCAGTAATAATATTACAGTTACCATTCATAAAACAGCTAGTTACTTATGATGCCTCAACCCCTACTGATCTGAAGTCCAACAAACCAATAATTCCTAGATTTATTTTCATAATTTGTATGACTTTCCAGGGTTCCCACTCTTTTTCGGTGATCATTTTCCAGGACACTTTTATTTTAATTATGACGGGAATAAAAGACAAGGAGAACGCCTTAAAGTAATATATTCCTCTCTGGAGAAGTCTTTAAAAACATACAGTTTATGGCCATGACGTGACTATAAAATCAGCTCTTTAATATGAGCTCTTAATTATACATTACAACAAATGATTTTCAGAATCAATTTCAGTACCACAGCAAAATAAACCAAATGTATTGGAAGTATTTTATTTATTTATTTGAAAATAAAAATAAAATCATTATATATACTAACAATAATTTTAAAGAAAATGTTTTAAAATATTGGCATGCATCCTTCAAATATTTTCAATTAAGTGTTGCTTAAGTGAAAAATGAGTGGATTCTGACTAGCTTAAACACCTCTGAGTACTAATAGCCTACTTTTGACAATAATCAAAATCAGAGGTGGAAAGAGTATGAAAATATTCTACTCAAATACTGTTACATTAATGAAATTTTACTTAAGTACAAGTAGAAGTACTAGTCTAAAAATCTACTCATGTAAGTCAAAAGTAGCTAATTTAAAATGTACTCTTACTCGTACTTACATTTTAACATTTTACATTTAAAGTTACATTTTAACAGTGGGAGGGAGGCAAAAGTGGGATAGGCCAAGGGTGTCAAACTAGTTGTTTTTAATTAAAGGAATCAGTTATTTAGAATAATTGGGGATTTGGGCTGTTACCAGACCAATTAAATCAGTATATCAACAAAATTAATCTTTGCAATGCAGAGGAAACACAGAAGATGCATCTGAAGTGGCATTTAGATGTGTTTACTCACTGTTTAATGCAGAACATGAATGCATTTAACCCGCAGTTACAAATGCAGAAATAATGTTTTGATATATAAAATGTTGAATACTATTTGAAATTATAAAAAAAAAAATCTAAAAATACTTTAAATGTGAAATTGAAACCGCCAGTAGGTGGCAGCAAGTCCCTGTTAATCAGTGAGTCACCGCGATTGAACCGAATCATTTAAACGGTTGATTCATTCAGGAACGAAACACCGTCATGTTGCTCAAAGACGCAAAACTGTGCTGTGGTGGTTGTGTTAGGAATTATTTTTGTTGTCGAAATAGAGCAAAAACAGGCGATCTGGTGTCTAAAACGCAAGTCTCTTAATTAACTTCTTGTTTATTGAGCTGTTGTAAAAAAAATCTATATGTAATAATGCTTTTGGAGAAAAAACAGCACTCTTTGTGTGATATTGATTTACTATATATACATTTTATGCCCCTATATCTTCAATCCATCTTTTATTATCAGTCCCAAGTATTGTTTTGAAATCCACACCAAAGACACAGACTACACCAGCTTTACATGGAAGTGGTTTTTAATGAATGGTACATCCGATCCTAGCATTTTACATTCTAATATTGACATGGAATCAAGTTTATAAACCAGCAAATATACACACAAAAGCATTTAAATAACCGTGAATGATCATAAAAATAATTCCAACTGCAAAGCACGCATACATAAAAAAAATAATAAATAATAACAATATAATAAGAAAAATAGGTCGTGCATTTAAAGTTGGATTTTCTTTGCAGCATCAAGCCATGATCTTGCTTATTTTGGCCTGTTGATGTTTATTATTAGCAAGCCATCGCAATCATGATTTCCAGTGCATGTTCATTTAGTTCATCCCTGCTATTCACAACAAAGTGAGATGGAGATGCTTATGATAGTTAAAAAAATGCCACATGTAGTTCTATAAACATGATAATGAGCAACAATCAGAATCGATAGACATGAACAATCAATGCTTACTCAGTGCCACATTCTTTTTTCTACGCATGTACTCAGTGCAATTCATTTTAAAGCAAGGGAAGGGTCACATATTCAATGTGCATCAGTGAAGCATTGTGAAATTTGCATCGCGTACACAACTCGTATGGCATGTGAAGGTCAGTAAATGGACACACAGTGAGTCTGACTGGATGTGGAGATGTGTTTGTGTGTGAAGTACTAGTGAAGAACGCTTGTCTGTAAGAGTTCAAGATTCTGCTTTCTCTTTTTGTTTCTTGCTTTTCTTTAGAAAACAGGGAGCTTTGAACTTTTTTTTTTTCTTGGATGGAGATTTGGAAGGCGAGACCTCTAAAATAGGTCGTGCATTTAAAGTTGGATTTTCTTTGCAGCATCAAGCCATGATCTTGCTTATTTTGGCCTGTTGATGTTTATTATTAGCAAGCCATCGCAATCATGATTTCCAGTGCATGTTCATTTAGTTCATCCCTGCTATTCACAACAAAGTGAGATGGAGATGCTTATGATAGTTAAAAAAATGCCACATGTAGTTCTATAAACATGATAATGAGCAACAATCAGAATCGATAGACATGAACAATCAATGCTTACTCAGTGCCACATTCTTTTTTCTACGCATGTACTCAGTGCAATTCATTTTAAAGCAAGGGAAGGGTCACATATTCAATGTGCATCAGTGAAGCATTGTGAAATTTGCATCGCGTACACAACTCGTATGGCATGTGAAGGTCAGTAAATGGACACACAGTGAGTCTGACTGGATGTGGAGATGTGTTTGTGTGTGAAGTACTAGTGAAGAACGCTTGTCTGTAAGAGTTCAAGATTCTGCTTTCTCTTTTTGTTTCTTGCTTTTCTTTAGAAAACAGGGAGCTTTGAACTTTTTTTTTTTCTTGGATGGAGATTTGGAAGGCGAGACCTCTGGGGTGTGGCCTGCGGGTTTGTTGGGCGGGGCAGTGGGCGGAGTCGGGGGCGGGGCCGAGGGCGTGTCAGTGGTGGATAGTGCCTTCATTTGTTTTTCTAGCTCCTCCTGCTGTTTCTTTTCATCGCCTTTATCGTTCTGCACCGCTTCTGTATGTGAATCGATTGAAATGAAAACGGAAAAGAAATAGCACAGTGCAAATGATGAAAGAAAAGAGAAGGAGAAGGCAGTTAAGCATTGGTCAGGATGCTCAGCAGCCGCTATGACATTTCAGTTTTGGCCAACATGCTCATTTAAGTTGTGCGCAATGTCTTAGTTTCTATATACTCACTAGTGAGACAAGATCTCAGTACCAAACGACTGTCCTACAAATTATAATACAGAGACAGACAGAGAAGCACAAAGGTGTGAAGACAGATGGAGGCCACAGTACAGAGCTGAAAATGTCACACATAAAAACAAAAACATGAAAACTGAAATGAAAACACGCACACAGATTTGAATACAGACATCCCATGTTACTCAACATCATCCCACAGTAAAGGAATAGTTCACCCCCCCAAAAAAGCTGTGAACTTGCTTACCCTCAGTCCATCAAAGATGCAAATCAATTTGTTTTTTCATCAGAACAGATTTGGAGAAATGTAGCATTGCATCACTTGCTCTGCAGTGAATGGGTGCCGTCAGAATGAGAGTCCAAACAGCTGATGAAAGCATCACAAGTAATCCACAGCACTCCAGTCCATCAGTTAACATCTGGAGACGACAAAAGATGAAACAAATCCAGCATTAAGACGCCTTTAACTAAAATACATCGAGTCCATAATCCATAATAACTCTTCCTCCAGTGAAAAAGTGCATCTGCTGTTGTCTCTCACATCAAAATCCAGCCACATATGTGTTTAGAGCTGTTTAAACGCTGCTTGATCTGTGCAGATTTCTCTCCTGATTCACACCAGAACACGTCTTCACTGGAAGAAGCGTTATTATGGATTATGGACTCGATGTATTTTAGTTAAAGGCGTCTTAATGCTGGATTTGTTTCATCTTTTGTCGTCTCCAGATGTTAACTGATGGACTGGAGTGCTGTGGATTACTTGTGATGCTTTCATCAGCTGTTTGGACTCTCATTCTGACGGCACCCATTCACTGCAGAGCAAGTGATGCAATGCTACATTCCTCCAAATCACAGAACAGTCACTTTTGGGTGAACTCTTCCTTTAATGACGTTATATTTACAGATTATAAAACAAACCCCCAATCGCTGTTTTTTATGTTCCCTTTAGTAACAGGGGTTGTCAACCAGAAGTAGATGATGTGATGCACAGATCAGCATGTGGGAGCATAGCAGGTGTTTCTGCAGTGTACATAGAGCCGAGGGTCTCACCTGACAGTGGGGTCTTTGTGGGGGAGGCCCCCGTGTCATTCACTACCTCCTCCACACCTTTTACACAAAAACATCAGGGTTGGGAAAAGAAGAAGAAGAAAGGAAACAGAAATAGAGGAAGATGAGGGAGTAGACCAGTGCTGGGGAGTAATGGATCAATAATAGCGACGCGTCTAAATGAATTACAGTTTTTAGTGTGACAGTATTTATTTAACCAGGCGAGTTAATTAAGAACAAGTTCTTATTTACAATAACAGCCTGGCAGGAGAATGAACATCTCCTGAGAAACATACAAACATATATTACAATACATAAAACATAAAAAAAGAATAAAATCTCAGTTAAAACATTTACTGTCATTTAATGTTTCCTTGTTGAATACAAGTCTTCATTATAACAAACAAACAAAACCATCTTACTGACCCCAAATATTTAAATATACAGTATGTTTTTTTTGGCAGTATTTTTCTAGTACAAAAACAGTGATGTTTCAAAGCTCAGCTGATTTCAAAACTATGCAGCTTTTCCAATAACAAGTTCATTTGTCCATTTAAGTCATCACTTAGTGTTCACAAGTCCCTGCATGTCATTTAAAATCAACATTAATATCAACCTTTTGTTTCACAGTTTTTATTCATTTTTTTATTCTATAAGTGTAAGCTTGTGTTTAATATGTAATTAGAAAAATACTGCCAGAAAAAAAAAACGTTCAAACATTTGAGGTCAGTAAGATTGTTTGTTTGTTTGTTTGTTTGTTTTAAAGAAGACTTTTATTCAACAAGGAGACATTAATTGACAGTTCTACTGTTATTTATTTTTCTAATAAATGCTGTTCGTTTGAACTTTTATGAACAATGAACCCTGATATTAACATTTTTTACACTGATAATAACCACAAATGTTTCTTGAGCAAGACTGGAGTAATGATGCTGAAAATTCAGCGTTGCGTCACAGGAATAAATTACATTTGAATATGTATTAAATTAGAAAAAAGTTATTTTAAACTGGAATAATATTTCACAACATTGCTGATTTTTCTGTATTTTTCATTAAATGATTACATAAGAGATTTCAAAAACATTTAAAAAGCCTACCGACCATAAACTATTGAACAGAAGTGTAGCTTTTACTGCTTAACTAGTTTGTATACGTGACCCTGGAGCACAAAACCAGCCATAAGGGTACATTTTTGGAAATTTAGATTTATACATTTTGTTAGGATCGGGCAATATTTGGCTGAGATACAACTATTTGAAAATCTGGAATCTGAGGGTGCAAAAGAGAAAATCATCTTTAAAGTTGTCCAAATGAAGTTCTTAGCAATGCATATTACTAATCAAACATTAAGTTTTGATATATTTACGGTAGGACATTTACTAAATATCTTCATGGAACATGATCTTTACTTAATATCCTAATGATTTTTGGCATAAAAGAGAAATGTATAATTGTGACCCATACAATGTATTGTTGGCTATTGCTACAAATATCCCCCAGCGACTCAACACTGCTTTTGTGCTCCAGG